TATGAAATGTTTAACAACTGCTAAATTAACCTACGTGGCTCAGCGAGATCATGAACTTCACCCCCTTCTAAGCTAGTGGCAGCAAAGGAATGCAAAGTAAGTCACTTGAACCAGCAATAAGCAAATGTACCTACAGCAGAGACGGCAGATAGAGCCTAACTCTCTCTCACTTGTAGAGACATTAGGTAATTTTTGGAAGCAGAAGAGATGAAAAATTAGCAATGACTTCGCCGGGAATCAAACCACGGACCTCTGAAATACCAGCTCAGTGTACTGACCACTACACCACGAAGGCACGCTAGGAAGGCGGGAGAAATACTTTACAATATAATGAACGTTATTTAATTTTTAAAATTACTTAAATGGATTCTTGACATATGTAATGAATTTCAGGAGCTCGTTTTGAGATAGAAGAATTGCCTTTTTCATGGGTTCCTATCTTGCAGTTCTAGTTGTATGGTACTTGGAACATGCTTCAATATACGTTATTTTTTTATTCTCTGTATCATTGTCAGTCTCTTTCCGACTGCAGCTTCAAGGGTTCTTAATGAAGTACGTTTGCGTAGCGGGATCTTCTTGATTTTTTTTTCAAAATCTCTTCACATCCTTTGCGTCAACGGCCACTATGCCCCTTTACGTTTGCCTCAACATTAGGTTTTTGACATGGCAGCGTTTGGCTCTTTACCATATTCTAGACACAGCTTCCCGACACATCATGCCTTTTACCGACAGCCTGTCATGCTAATGTCTTTCATTTTTAAAGTGTTTCAGTAGTGCCTATAGAATTGCCTTTTTCTCTTCAGACCTTAAATTTCATTTCTTTCCCATAGCTCTGTAAGAAAGAACGAAAATAAATCGACATAAACTAATATCAAAATTTTATTTTGTAAAAATAGAAGGTATTCAAAACCACTCTTCCCGTATCTCTGTCTTTAATCCAATACAAATTTATAAATCAGACAACCATTTTGATACCAGTATGTTATTTGTCCATTTTTGTCAAATGGTAGAATCAGTTTAAAATAAAACATATTAGATGATCTGTATGAGATAGATAATCCACTGGAAAAAGAAAGAATATTCATGGATAAATGCTACAGTAATTTGAAATATAACTGCTTTTTAAAAAATAGCACAGAATTGCCTTTCACTATAATATCGCTTTATAAGATGTGTCAGACGAATTTAAGACGTAAGATTTTTTTAAATCTGAAATAGGATTTCGAAGTTTAGAGGAAGAAAAATTAAAACTTAAATAACATACTTAAAACAAAATCTAGTTTTGCAAAAAATTCTGAGGAATTCACGAAAGCATTCCATAGCGTCCAGTTTAAATATCACGTATCGGTAGTAAAGAACTGCATCCAAAGACGTGTTGTTTTTTTATATTTCAGTTCCAAACACTAACAATTTCTTTTTCTTTTATTGTGAGAAATATGGAAAACATTATTCAAGAAAATTTCCAGTAAGAAAAGTTCGAAGAAATAAAGGAGAAAAATATAATGGGAAGTTGCACTAAAATCTCAGCTACTCACCGACGACAGTCTAGGCCGATGATAAAAAAAATGAAAGGCTGCAACCTGTTGTAGCAGTTTATTTATTGTTGTAGTTAATTTCACCTTTCTGACCTAAGAAGCCCACCAGCGGCCGAGCGGTAAAGTCGCTGAACACTGATAGTTCGGTCCGAGGTTCGAATCCCGCGAACGGGCTGGCTGCATGAGCGTTTTCGTAGTTTTCACCATGTGTAACGTGTATACGATCCAGTTCCTTTAGAAAGTCCTCTACGAAGGCATCTTTCCCCTTGCACCACATTGCTGACCGTACGACTTCGCCCACTTTTGCCCCAATTCTGAAGGAGAGCATCAAGGGGGACGGGTCTGAAGGTCTCTCACTGTTCTTCCTCTACTACCAAACGACTGGAGAGGAGTTTCGGCTTGCCATATATTTTGAGTGCCCCCATGCCGAGGAGATACTATACATTTAAAAATATACATGCCTTCTCCTAGACTCGAACTCGGGACCATCGACATAACAGTCACTTGCCATAACTAGTTTACCGTCTGAGTGACAGCCGTTCATTTAATGTTTCTTCATTCGGTGTCCATGCAGAATACAGATGAATCCACAACCAGCGAAATCTATGCTGTAAATGTACTTTTGAGTTTATTTCGTAATTTCTTTATTTACCTTGGTAAACTAAATTTTGCTGATTACCATGATTTAGCGATTACTAAAGTTTAATATTTATTGTACTTTGATATGTTTCAGCAGTTTAAATTAGAAGAAAAATGCAAATATATAACTTAAATTTAGGCAAAAAATCAACCTTCACTGGCTTAGATTTTGCATAAAACTCTATCAACTTAGAAGACAATCAAGCACAAGTCCCTCGTCTTCGGGATTAAAAAAAATTCTGCTTTCAAAAGAAGTTTTATTTTTGCTCCTAAAGAAGAGGAACTGTGTCTGAGCACCCTCAAAATGGCCATCAGAGTGTTATTCAAACTAAATTTGCTTTTAGTCTAATTTTAAGTTCTGTTGTAATTGAATTTGATTTCATTTGATTTCAACGAATTATTCTCTGTGTGAATGAGAGATTTTTCACAAGGTTTAATAAACATGCGTTTTAATATGAGGGTTTTTAAATGAATTTTTAATAAACAAATAAAGAAAAAAAGTAAATTATTTTTTTTACCTAAATCTGTCTGGAAAATATTGCATTTCTCCATCATGTACTGTATAAAAATGAAGAAATACTATTAATAATGACATATAATACTTTTTATATAGATATTAGTTAAGATGTGACTATTATTTCTAGGGATGAAAGAATTAAAACTCTGGAAAAGGCAGGTTTAGAGATCGTATATTATTGCCTTGGCTAAACATTTATACTGAATTAAGCTACTCTTTTACCCAAATTTAGATTATGTTAAGCTGACAGATTGTCAGATTTTGGCAAAATTAACTTGAGCAATGCTGGCAGACAAGAGAACTGCTTCAAAATCATCATGCTGTATGATTAGCAGTTACAGATCTTTTTGTTCGTTTTTAAATATTTTATTATTTTTATTTTCTTTCTTGTCTACGTATTCTTTTGAACAAAATATATTATATATTCACTAATGTACGAAATTATGATGATTTAATAAATAAAGGTAACACGCAATCGGTAATTTATAATAAACAAATCGCCTTTTTGGGCATAATATAAAATATGGAAGCTTTCTGATTTTTTAAAATATGATTATTATTGTTAATAACAAGAAAGTTATTAAAATATTATATACAGGAAAGATTGAGAAAAGGAATTTCGCAACCTTTCATAGAAATATATCATCGAACGAATAATTCTCTTATTATGCCATTGATTTAATGACGAATAATAGTTTCCGTCGTGTATCATATGTTTATATCATAATATATGTTTTTGAATACAGCATACCTTTCTTTTAACGCACTCATACCTTGCGACATAGCGATTGTTTAATTTATAAAGATCAGCAGTTTTTATGCATATCTTCAAATACTAACCGAATTAAGAAAAAAGTGACGAATTAGCAATTTTGCAAACCAAAATTCTCGTTGTCAGATTAAGTTTACTTTGCAATTGACTGATATCCTCAAGATATATGCATTTTTCGCAATGCTTGGCTGTATGCATCTTTTTAGAAAATAGACTCTTTTTGCTTGCAATGGCATAGCAATCACTTTAATTTTTACATCCGCTGACCAACATGAAGGTCGAACTGTTTGCTGAAGCGAAAATACAATGACATCATTGCATTGTTATCGTACTGGCAGCTTCGGAATACTTATTTTTGCGGCCTTCAATAAACGACACAATAAACTTTCCTTAAGCGGCAGTACTTGTTATTTAACAGTGCTTTTATTTTCTTTTCATATTAATAATTTATCAATTGTTTATTTAAAATCCGTATATTTAATTAGTATTTTCCTTAAATACTATGGCCCGATTTTTTGACGCATAAGTAAACATTTTTAACATACAAAAATTTATACGTATACCGAGGAATAAAATCTGAAATGTGGAAGCTGGAAATTTTTTAATTATACTCCAAATGAGAAACATAGCACTTAATGATCCGACGGAGATCGGAAAGGACAGTAGAATAAAAATGAATGCATTTTTTAATAACAAAAATTTCTTCATGTACATTCCCTGAATTTCTGAGATTCAGAGTCGAAATGTTTTCACGCCTTCATGTCACGCTAAACACAGTCCATATTTTTAATAGTTTTCTCCCCTTCATTTGTAATAGGAGGTTTCATAAATATTCTTGAAAAATCGGCATACAAATGTTTCAGACTATAAAGCTGTTGATTAAACCTCCGACCGAACAGCAGAGAATATATGTATGTATGCATATATACAGGGTGAGTCTAAATTGTTTTTACAAATTAAGAGGAGTGATAGTACTCATCCAGATGAGCAATAATTACCATAGAACATAGTGTCGCATTCCACTCTGAGAGGCCGAAAAGAGGAATATTAGAATTCCAGCCTGAACTTAGAACAGTGTTGGGAGAGTGAATGAACGAGACCAAAAGATGCACAATCAGTTTATCAAAAACTCACAGAGAGTGCACAAAACGGATAAAACCGAAAACTTGGCGTTCGGGTGTTAATTCGAGCTCAGACTTTGATGGCAAACACGTAAATGCACATCTTTAGTTGCAACGTCTCAACCTCGCGAAAGATTGCAACAAGTTAATTATCTAAATCAAGGGCTGAACATTATCAACTAACTCCAACTTCCGCTGTATGCCGAGATTAGCATGAAACGTTCATGCTGTGTCCGGCTGTCAGAACTTCGTGTCGCATAGAAGGGCGCTTCAAGTAGAATGAGCACAATTTAGTACGTTCAGGAGGACAGGATAGAAGATGGCGAAGGGGAAAAACTGCTACCTTGATACAGTTTTCCCCCTAATAATAATTTAGATAATTAACTTGTTGCAATCATTTGCGAAGTTGAGACCTTGCCAACGAAAGATGTGCATTTGAGTGTTTGCCATCAAAGTCTGAGCTCGAATTAACACTCGAACGCCAAGTTTTCGGTTTTATTCGTTTTGTGCACTCCGTGAGTTTTTCTCTAAACTGATTGTATAACTTTTGGTCTCGTTCATTCGCTCTCCGAACGCTGTTTATGTTCAGGTTGAAATTTTAATATTCCTGTTTTCTGCCTCTCAGAGTGGAATGCGAACCTATGTTCTATGGTAATTATTGCTCATCTAGATGAGTACTATCAACTCTCTTAATTTGTAAAAACTTTTTAGAATCATCCTGTATATATATATATATATATATTATATATATAGAGAGAAGAGAGAGAGAGTGTATATATATATATATATATATATACGCTCCATACAGAGTATATATATATATATATATATATATGTATATATATATAGCTGTATGTATTTAGCATGTATATAGCGTGTAGGTCCTAAAATATATTCCTAAAATTTCTTTGATTATACAAGTATTAATGATATGTTTACTTTTCAGGTACCTTTCAGCTCTTAGCTTATTTTAGACATTTTCTTGTAAAGTAATTCTGAAGTTCCACAGATGGCTTGGTGATGGCATTAAATTATTTTACAGAGAGCGATGAGGTACATCCTAAGTAGTTCATTCGAAATCAAAGAAGAAAACTTTTGGTTTTGAAATCAGCTGAATACGTTGGATTATTGCTGAGAAGATTTTCAAATTTCCATGTTTTCTTTTGACATGACAGCATAATTTAACAGTACTGATGTAAATTTGGTTTCCAACAGCATTGTTAAAAACTATAACTTAGTTTATGGTCAGAGTTAATGAAAAAAATGGAATACACAAATCAGAATGGATATTTTGGAAAACAAAAACTTACAAATTCAAATAACTCTAATTTACTTCAGGTTAAACTTACGGATAATTTACATATAATTTAAGTTTAAAATTTAATTATATACCGCTGTTGACGTTTGTAGATGCCATTTACATACCATCAAGTAATTTCACTCAACGATTAAAGATGATAACAAAAGTTTAGTGTATATCTGAAAATTAGTATAGAATGCATAGAAAATGAATATAATTTTCCATAGGATGAAATCTTTCTTGAGTAGTGTTATTGTTTACTAAGGAAATAAGCAGATAAGTCAAATTTAATTTTCTAGATACTTATTTAGAAATGGTAAGTATTCAGATTCTATCACGAAATTTAAAAGATATGCTTACAGATTTTAGCAACGGCAAATATTTACCAGAGACATCGTTGCAATTGTCGAAACACATTTTTTAATTGCAAACGTAAAGTTGTTAGAGATTCGTAATTTTCTGTTTGCTTAGATATTTTCTATATGTTTGATGAATTTATTGTAAAAAAAGAAGGAAAACTAGTACTATGGGCCACTCAATCTACTGCCAGGTTATTTCTCTAGATATTTTAATTTTAGTAGGTTACAAAATTGAAGAAGTGTCCGGATGGCGCAAGAATGCCTACATGAATAGAATAAATAAGTCTTAATTTTGTACAAACTCTGGTTAAGTTTATAATTTAGTCAAAATAATGTCATTTAAGTGATTTTATTTCTTATTTCTTTGTAATTTAATATCATTTGTGCTTTGATTGCTAACAGCAGATTTTTATTTTCATTACGTTACTGTAATTTTATTTACTTTCATATAAAAGACACAAGCTTAACGAACGCTTAATTGTAAAAACCTATATTCATCTGTAGATTTAAATTCATTGTTCCGAAGCCAAAACTTGTTTTGCGATGCCGAGACAGACCTAACAATGACTTGAGCCAGAGCTTACGAATACCCTGCAAGTTATGATAAGGCCATTACAAGCTATAATAACCATTAAAAGTTAGTCTAATGTATAATATCAAAATTCACTAGAACAGTGGTTCTCAACCTTTTGACTAATGTGAAACATCTAAATAAAAATTGAAAAACTCTAGTACCACCACTACATTTTACAACGATTATTTTTAAATTTCTAAATAGAAATATTAAAAAATATATATTTTGCTATTTCCACAACCTGTTGGCTATTTGTATTAAATATGCACACATAAAAAATATTAGATTAAAAATTGGTTACCATTTTAATTATCATAATTTAAATTATAATATATTAATTTCAAAATTTGGGTTTGTTTAAGAAAGATCAATTTCTTTATGTCTGGTCATATTTCACATTTAACCGTAAATTAGGAACCACTTTTAATTTGGTTCTGTATTTTTTTTTTCAAATATAACATGGAAGAAAAATCCTTGTTCACACAAATGGGCTGCGCAGAAATTCAATAAAATTGTAATACCTTTATTTGAAATACCTTTAAATTTTTTTTTTCGGTTTAGCGAAAAGTAGTTAAGTGTGTTAATTTTTGAAATCTTCAGTTAGAGTTCGACCACAGAAAATTTCTATCAACTGTTCTTTTTCTTCACGTGATTTTTGAATTTAATAGTTAAAAATACTTTCTTTGCGTACACCTATTTTTCTCTTGCGTACCACTGGTTGAGAATCGCTGCACTAGAACTTCATGCATAAACACAGCAATAACTGCATAAAGGATTTTCTGATATCTAACAGTTTTCTTTATATACATGAGCAAAACCACTAACCGCAAATAACAATGCGGTTAGCCACTCGGCGATTGATCGACTGATGGAGCCTAGCCGTAACACTTTGGTCACCGATAGGTTCAAATTGTAAGAAAGGAAATAATAATTTATCTAAATTTTAACAAAATAACTCAGGATATAAAGTTGAAACAAATATACACAAATGTTTTGGAGTGAAGAAGATAAGAGGAAAGTCAATGAAAAGACTAACATTTAATTATTCCGTTAGGTGAAGATGGAATTTGGGTCATTTAACTTCTAGTTTTTTTCCCGTTCCATTAATAACTGCAGTTCTCAAAGACATTCCAAATGTAAATTTCTTTGCAGTTTACTTCATCTCATTAAGTGAAGTCTCTAGTCAGAATGGGAGGGTCTTAAAATATGTCATATCACAAAAGAGGAAATATACATTAGAAAGAAAGAAATTCTTAAATTTATTCATCTGTTTGTAGTAATGTTCGTTTGCTATGCATTTACAACTTTCTTTCTTAATTTTTTTGGTGCTTCCTTATTGAATGTAGACATATTTCTAGTTCAGTGTAGCTAATAACATATGCGCATACGTTACATTTTCTATCACAACAGCCTATGTATTAGAATGCTGATGTAATATTGGTGCATTGTTCCTTAGAATACACATCCGGTGCTCTCATAAATGGTTCAATGTTTTTCAATTGAATTAAATTTCGGAAAGGGACGGGATTTCCGTTCCGACTACCTGCAGCATCTTATAAAAGCAACTAGTAATGTTTACGTTGTTCATACTTTTACTGCAAGTTTTTAAGTGTGTAGTTAGATATTAATAGTTACTTTTAAAAGTTAAATGTTAGTAACAAAGGAGAAAAGTCAACATATTTTGCTTTATGTGCTCAGTTAAATATTTCTTAATAGGAAAATTGATGCAGTATATGGCGATCGAATAATAAATCTAAGCTAGTGTCAACGGTGGTTCTAGAAATTCCGAGCCGAAAATTATAGTATAAGGTATTTCTCCCGCCTTCTTAGCATTCCTTCGTAGTGTGGTGGTCTGCTCGCTGGGCGCGTATTCCAGAGGTCCGTGGTTCGATTCCCGGCGAGGGCGTTGCTCATTTTTCATCTCTCCAGATTCTAAAAAATACCTAATGTCTCTACAATAGCTTAATAAAAAATAAACTCTTCCTGAATGATCTATAGAGCCAGAAAAGGATGTCCTGAAGCGCTAGAGACACAAAATCCCATCGTAACTATTAAAAATTAGCAAAACATTGAGAAGAGTAGATTAAAGATTTCAAAAGAACTTTGTTTAGTTGAATTTTGAAAAATGAAAGAAATATTAAAAAACTGCATTATTAATGGGATGACCTAATAATCCCATATTAAGAGACAGCCGTACTGAACATTATACATTACATGTTAATGCAGTATACGTTTTCGTATTTTTCATCCACATGCAACGTGAATACGAGCGATTTTTCTTTAGAAACTTCTGTATGGAAGCATTCCATGCAGATTTTTCGGTAGGTTTCAAACATTCGCAAAAACAAGTAGACGCCTCGAACGACTACTCTGGGGTTTCACCTATAGTTTATTAATTTGTGAGGCAGAGGAAAAAAAATTGCGTGTTAAACCTTTAGAAAATTTTGATTTTATCGCATTTTATAGATATACGTGTCTGGTAGACATATTGAGAGGTGTTTTGAAGCTTGGAGCTATTAAAAAAAAGTGCCTGTATTCTTGCCCAGACTTTAACTATGGATTTCTACTATTTGCTAGGTGAGTATATTATTTAACCACAAGTGCACAAGGCTATAATTCCTTGTAGATACACACAACTAATATTCTCAGAGTATAAAATAAACAAGATTAACAAAATTCGACGTAATTTCTAAACCATGGAACTGCTTCATAAATTTGCTATGAAACTGTTTTACCCTAGCAAGAAAATAAATAGCTGTTGTATTGTAATAGCATAATTATTTAGTCTAAGAAGCAAATTTTTTCCAAGCAAACATAGTTTAAAAGGGGTTCATCCAAAAAACCTCGGAGCTTTAGAATCGTAATTTTTTTTTTAAATTATTGATTATTTTCGAGAAATTAATTTTCCAACTTATTTATTTAAATAGATATATTATTGTTGTTAATAAATCGAAATCAGATACTTAAAGAGATGTTTTCTAAATACATTTAAACGTTTTATTTTATTTTTTAGTCCAAAGGAGCTTTGTCCCTGAATGACTATTGTTTTCGTTTTGCGATTTTGTGTCAAATCATTATAAACGACGTATCACTTTCCAAATTGTTGCCACCAAATGTTAAAGTTCTGCATTATATTTGAGGAAATTAAATAATGAAGAATCTGCATAAATGTACTTATGTTTCTCGCATTGTGATAAAACAACGGTACCTAGAGCCATCCAATTTTAAATGACGTAATCCTCCTACGAATATGGGCATGTGGAAGCCCAAATTTGAAATTTGGAATTTATTTTATTATCAATTTCATATTTTGTAAAACTTAAAAATTTTTTGATTAACAAACTCAACGATTTAAAAGCGAGCAATGGCAACACTCTACGGGTAAAAAAAAAAACTTTTTATCTCCAGCGCAAGGAACTGTGTATTCTAAATATATGCTCATTTTAAAATTATTTTGTGGCATTGTTCTTGAACTCAATTTTATGGTTTAAGTGCAAAGAATATGATATTTAATAAATAAAGGTAACCCACAAAACGTTAAAAAACGCCCTTTTGGACGTAATTTAAAATCTGAAACCTTTCGGATTTTATTTATTTATTTATTATTATTATTATTTTTTTTTTTTTTTGCTTTACCTCAAGGTCTTTTTTCTATTAGTGGTACATCCTGAAACTATGAATTGCGTTTTAGAAAGTTAGAAAGAATGGTGTCTTAAAAATCGAAGAATTAAAGTAACAAATCGGCCAAATATTTTTCGGAGTTACAACATAGTTTACACAAAACAACAACAACAAAAAACATACGTAATTTTTCGAGAAAAACTTTTTGGTCTACATTTCCGCTCTATTCCTGAAATTCTACAGTGGTTTTCTTAAAATTCTTTAAGTTCTATAGAAATTGGGGGAAATATTTATTGTTTAATTGATAATCGATGAAAAACTACTATTTTTATTTATTCGTCTAGTAAGCTGCTATAATTTTCACTTACATAAAATAAATCCAGCTTATAATGCTGCATTAAAAACACAATTTGCCGAACATGAACATTGTTTCTGATACATGTATCTTTGTTCAACTTTTTTCTGCAAGCTGAAAATAGAAAATACATTGATTTTAAAAGACATAATAGCAATTTGATGTCTGGCATTTACCCAACTGCAAAGCTAATGCCACGGTCAGCTACATATTCGATGACCTATTTCTTGTTTGTATCTCATTAACTATACCCTCACGTTTCTTCCGCTAAAGCAAAATTTGCCTTAACATGATTTGAGAGGAAACTCTTGCCTTTCAAAATGTA